ATCATATTTTTCAAACTAAACATACCAATGAATTGAATTGAATTGTGAATATTAGTCAAGATTTACCGAATTCGGAAAATTCGCTGTTTTTAGCAACACTGACAATAATGTTCATCGAAACGAAAAAATGCACAGAATTATGAATCTTGTACTTAACTTATATACGAAGTTCAATAAATACTGGTCCAAAACTGTAGGTAGGTCGAGTTTATATCTTATTGAAAAAAAAATTTACAGAAAGTTCTATTTTAAGCAATTATGACTATGTCGTTCATCAAATTCCAAAAAACCGATAAACAGAATTCTGCATTTTGGTGAATATTACCTGTGTACCTTCTTTTATGAAATTGGTTCAAAACTGCATGCAGAGTAATATTTCGAATATTGCACTTGATAAGTATAGTAACGCACAAGCCGTGTGCAGTATAGGTAAAAACAATACACGGAGGAGGAATGTTGTTGTAGTCAACATTTGTATCAAATTTTACTAAAATTAAAAAGAAACCAGTATGAGGAGGATCAAAAAGAAAAATTGAATACAGACAGACAGAAGGACAGACTGACACTAATAAGACAGACAGCTATAGACTGGCATACATCCTTATTCCATCGTCTTGGACCAAAAGAGCTTAAAACCAAAATTTTGTAGCGAATTAATAATTTGCATGTTTGAAGTTTGCATGCATGTTTGCCTTCGTAAAGGAAAAGTTTTTTCCCTATGAATATGACTAAATCCATAATGCATAATCCTCTATGAATGGTTTTAGTAGCAATTTGTCATATCAAATTGATTTTTCCATGCCACTAATGACTTAATAACTACTCCCTTTGAGGATTTCAGTATGGGTATGTACTCCGTAAATCGACAATATTACATTGTTATCTCATATTTGCACTACGTCGATTTTAGTTGACATTTTGTATGCATTATTATGAAGGCTCTCATAAATTCATTTTCTAAACTATTGTCCAGAATATGAATTGAAACTCCAATACATAACATGGAAGCTGCTGATTCGGGTTCCCTTGGGTGTCGTTATCAGCCATAGACTATTTAGTTATCATTGACCCAAACAGTCAAACATGCAGTATAAACAACGATAAAGGCATAGTATGTCACCAGAATTTAGGACGGCAACAGTCACAATCGAAATTTTGATATGCATTGCACATTTTTTTTTCGTGTCATTTTTTTACTCATTGTGTGTGTTTTTTTTAAATTATTATCTTAACAAGAGGCCCAGGGGCCACATCGCTCACCTGAACACTTTGGCTAGGAAAAAGCAGAAATAAGTTCAGTATTGAAAAGTTTAAATATAAAAGTGGTTCGGGGTGGGGGTTATGATTTGAACACTTGAATCTACACTTCCTGAGGGTGCTTTTGAATTAATATGACACATAATGGCTTTGCTGTTCTTAAGATGAAAATGTTTATTGATATATCCTTTTTATTCCTTTGTATTACTATGATCCCCTCTTATGGCCCCTCTCTTCCCCTGGGGGTCATGATTTGAACAAATTTAAATCTACATTACCTGAGGATGACTTTTATATTATTATGGCCAATCCTGGCTTTGCTGTTCTTGTGAAGAATTTTAAAGGTTTTTCCTATGTATTCGTATGTAAAACTTTGATCACCCATTGTGGCCCCACCCTACCCCAAGGGTCATAATTTGAACCTAGAATCTTGAATTTGGACTACCTAAGGATGCTTCCATATTAATATATCTAACCATGGCTATGCTGCTCTTGAGAAGATGATTTTTAAAGATTTTTCTTATGTATTCTTATGTAAAACTTTGATCCCCATTGTGGCCCCACCCTAACCCCGGGGGTCATGATTTGAACAAATTTGAATCTACACTACCTCACAGTTATTTCACATAAGTTTCATGATTTTAAATTATGCCATTAATTTTTTACGAAATCATAATTATCTCCCCTTGGAAGAAAGCGTGGCGTTTCATTTGAAAAAAACTTGAATTCCCTTTACCCAAGGATACTTTGTGGCAAGTTTGGTTGAAATTGGCCCAGTGTTCCTTGAGAAGAAGACGAAATTGAGAAAAGTTTACGACGACGACAACGACGACAGACAAAGGAAAAATTTCGATCAGAAAAGCTCACTTGAGCCTTCGGCTCAGGTGAGCTAAAACATATGTGAATTATGTGACCTCATTTTGTATTTTTGTTTCGTAATAACTCCGAAAATTACGCCAGAATCCTCTGTGTTAAGAACGTTGACCATTAAAAATGACAGTAACAATTAAGAGACAAAATTTCAGCGAAGAAAAAAATGAATGTGAACATTTGTTCATTCTTGGATGCACGCTTACGGACACAGATACCAATTGGGCTAAAATGTGATTCATATTCGATAAGCTGTTATTCCTATTCGAAAAAATGTGATTCGATAATTTGGCCATTCGATAAATTGCTACTCCTATTGGAAGAAATATGATTTCTATTCCAAAATATCACTTATATTCGAAAACATGTGTTTCATATTCGATAACATGTCATTCATATTCGAAAACATGAGATTCCTATTCAATAAAACATGTGATTCCCATTCAATAAAACATGTGATTCCTATTCAATAAAACATGTGATTCCCATTCAATAAAACATGTGATTCCTATTCAATAAAACATGTGATTCCCATTCAATAAAACATGTGATTCCCATTCAATAAAACATGTGATTCCTATTCGATAATTTTGTCATTCTTATTCGATAATTATCTAATTTATATGCAATAAACTTGTTATTCCTATTCGAAAACATACGATTCCTATTCGATAATCTTGTTATCGAATTGTTATTAGATAATTTTGAATAGGAATTGCATGTTTTCAAATAGGAATGATATGTTTTTCAATGGGAATAACATGTTTATCGAATATAAATCATTTAATTATCGAATAAGAATGACAAAAGTATCGAATAGGAATGACAAAATCAATAAGAATCACATGTTTTCGAATAGGAATAAGGAATCACATGTTTACGAATTGGAATAACAACTTATCGAATAGGAATGATAAATCATCGAATAGAAACAACTTATCGAATTGGAATCACATTTTATCGAATATGAATGATGTTTTAGAATAAGAATATCTAAGTGTTTGAATAGTATTAACAAAAAGTATAATGAGGCAACGTTTTACATACCAATCAAGACCATTAAAAAAATCTTCGTTATCACATGCTCTCAGGATGGTTATATAATAATGGACAAAATATTGACAATTTTGTCTATCATATGCAGATCTTTTAAAGTCAATTTTCAAATTAAATTTAAATGTTGTTTATTATATTCGTATGTTATATCTTAAGGATATTGCGGGGCCATAAAAGAGAATCAAGCTTTTTTTTAGAAAAAATAATAATAAATTGTTCGTTATCTTGTTCATCAATTCCAATCTGAAACAGTTTCGTTTAATCTGTTTGCAGTTTGGAAATAATTTCATAGACTATTATTTCTGTTAAACAACATTATATCCACTCTATTTTTCTGATTTTCGAAATTCCAGACAGCTATAGCTTTTCTTGTTTTACCTTAATGTAGATTTAATTTTTTTTAAAGAATTTTTGCTCAAGGCAAATGCTCTTTTTTTCAAAAAATGTCAACAGACAGACAGGAAATCTGAGTGAGGACCTGAGTTTAAAACAAAATCACTTGACAATAATACAAAACTGTACAAGACGTAGCAAGGTTTTGTGGGATGTGGGTGTATACCTGAGGGTGAGGATGTATACTTGAGAGTGTGAGTGAATACTTGCCAAGAAGGTGAAAAAAGACGTATGCCAATGAATATAGGGAAGGGACACTAAATGTATATGATATCTTTTGCACTTAATGTGAATTAAATATTTAAAATTTGAGTTTGTTTCATATTATCAACACTGATGTACGTGAAATTTTTACCACTGGTTTGTACTCTGGTGTTGTGGACAATGGAGTAGGCCGTCTTTTCTTACCGTCAACGAAATCCATTAAAAATGAATAACTCGGGGAAAATCAACTAACACCGTGTTTAAGAGTAATCATTATAACTAATGAATAAATTCGTAGAGTGCGAAGACTAAGTTTCTACTCATTATAAGCACCTCCTGCTGTGTCGTTTTGATACATTGACAAGTTGTGGAAAGCAAAACATCAGATCCCTTAATTGTACATAAATTTAATAAAACTATGAACCAAGAAGGCGTCTTTATTAGCAATATTGTGATACACTGTAAGAAACGGTATATGTCATTCATATATTCATAAAGAACAATACCCAACTTTGAGATGTAGTGAGATTGACTTCCTTTAATGGAAACCCATCACTTACTTACTCACTAGAATTTTAACTGGGCTTCTTTCTGTTTACAAATCTGCTGCGATATTTACGAATATAAAATAAAAGTTAAGGAAAGACATATGTAATAAACTGCCATTAGGTTTGTTTTACAGACAAAATATCTTTTACTTACAGTGTTATAGCTATCCTAAAATTTATCCTCGATTAACAAATAATTCCAATCAATCGATACTAAAACTGTCATACGTACGTATATAGCTTTCCAAAAAGTTTAGATATCGATTACTTTGTTTCTACATATCACCCCCCACCCTTCCCCCATTAAATTCATGTCGCAGTGAGCGAGCAAACTTACAGCAATCACTTGATGCTCTTAAATATATCCTATATCCTAAATATCAAGCATATTTTTCATAACTAAACATTGATTTAAACCTTTTGAAGGAAAAAATTTTTTTTTACTATTTTGATAAGTTATTATTCGCGTTTTCATTCTTTCAAACTTTCTAAGAGTAACTTATAACTGAATGCTTTAGAATTCATTCAAAATAAATACAATAAAAAATTACATAAACTTTTTATTGGCTGATATATATATATATATTTATATATATATATATATATATATATATATATATATATATATATATATATATATATATATATATATATATATATATATATCCCTACCTCCTTGCTTCATCCACTGACTTCCCCGGGGTTGATGAATAGTGACACACCCCTCAGTCCCTTTAGACACGTGGCTATAAACCCTATGAACAATTTCAGTGATTTTGCTGATATATAACTCGACCAGATCGGGCACTTGTTGCACAAAACTCCTCAACTTTTACTTCTTTTTATCCAGCCTTTTAGTCCAGTTCTAATCAATCAATATTCTCCATTCATAGACAGGCGATAAATAAAAGCATAATTCAGTTCGATTGTGCACAGTGGAAAAGCCAGATTGGATAATATGTAAAAGAAATTGTCAAATACATAGCAATCGCTTCATTCCTCACCTCCCCTATGTAGCATAGTCTTAGACATCTTTGTAATGTCGCTGTACTCTATATACGCCTGAAACAATTATTTCCTTTTTACCGATTTCAACCGCTAGAATAAAGTCCATAGTTGAATAATTAAGCTTCTCTTTCCGTCATTCTGGTTAAACAAAAAGTAACAATTGGCCTGTAATTGGAGAGATATCATAAATTACACCCGATTATACATAATCAATAAGTCCCTGTAACCAAATATTGAATGTAGATGATTTATGGTTACATGTATAATTAAATGGTTTCAATACAGCGAAAAGCAACCGATCCTTTTTCTGGGCCTCATGGAACGAGAATTTCTGTGGACCATTTTTCATGTTTACCTGTTGAGTTGTCAACAGTGCATGTGTATTAAGTCCATAATGTAATTCCTAGTTTATGTAATTACCTAGATACAATCTCAGAACGCCATGCAGCTAATGTTTGTTTTATCTGATGACTGACAACCGCTGTAGGAGATGCTTTATTTCTTGTATCTCGGAGAATAACAAAACTATAGGACGTTTCGTGCTTTGTGTCAAAAAATCAAAAAGTAACCTGCATTTAACATTTCATTGAAATGACTTTTTTTCGAACTAGAGAGGTTGTCGTCGAAGGTTGGCAATGAATTTCCTGTTGTTCAACGTATATTAAAAGACATTGCTCCCACTAAATAAAAGGGACATTTTAAACCATCTATAAATCTTTAAGGTTTTACACCACTTTTACACCAAACTTATTTTAAACAATCGTAAAGCTTATATATTTATTATCACATATGTCATATTCTCTTAGTATTCATAGGTTGGCGGTCGGGTAGGTTAGTTTGCCGGGGGCCAGAGCGCTGTCTAGAGTTCACAGGTGGTCAGACATCAAACCATGCACAGTTTGAAAAATAGCAGAATATTTTAACAATAAAATAATTCTTAATCCCCTAAATTTTCGATTACTCTAAACTGTTTTTAGAGGAGTCGGGTTGTGATGGACATCATTCTCCAGACCCGTAGGAAGCAATTTCAATTTGGGGAGGGGGGCACAGCGCTATACATTTTCAGATGAGGGGGCACTTTTAACTACCAAAAGTTCCTTGATAAGCAAAAATAAATTTAAAAAAAAAAAAAGGTCATCAGACATTTTTATTGAGGGGGCACAAGCATATAATTGCTATGGTTTCTATAGTAATCTATATATCGGCAAAATTATTGGGGGGGAGGGGGACGGCCCCCGTGCCCCCCCCCCGGTTCCTACGGCCATGTTTTTATAATGGGAAAAGATATCCTAATCCACCCATCCTATTGCCAAAATTTGGAAATTTATGACAAATGGACTACTCTTGTTATAAAACATAACCTGCATGGTAAGAAATATAAGACCCGGGGAACTCGTGAACAGTACGCTACGGAGCATGTCATGTGCCCGTCTGGACCCCGTGTTTAGTGCATGGACAGAACGGTGGCATGAGTGCATTAAAACCGGAGGGGACTACTTTGAAAAATAATAAGCACTACTACCTGAAGATACTTCCATATAAATGAATAAGGTGAAGATGTCACTAATTATGATTCTGCTGATCCCGAGAAGATTTAAATGTTTTGCTACATGTGTATATAATCCCATGTAAAATGCTTATCCTCTATCGTAGCCCCATCCTATCCATGGGGACTATTATTTTAAACAAACTTAAATCTACACATTCCTTTTGATGCTTGCATATTAATGTGACTGATAATGACCTTGTTGTTCTTGGGAAAATATTTTTAAAGATTTTTTTCTATGTATTTCAATGTAAAACTTTGATCTTTTATGATAGGCACACTCTGTCCCTGGGGGTCTTAATTTGAACAAAATTGAATCTACACTATGTAAGATTGATTGATTGTATGTTGTTTAACGTCTAATTCGAGATTTTTTTCACTCATATAGAGACGTCACCATATACCGTTGAAGAGCTTCAAATTTTGACCTTTACTTGGCACTCAGGGCCATTGAGCAGTGAGGGATATTTATCGTGCCAACGCCTGCCGTGACACGGGGCCTCGGTTTTTAAGGTCTGATCCGAAGGATCCGCAACTTTCACTTCAAAGTGCCGAGCGCATGGCGAAGGAACAGTTGCTACCAATTTTTTATCGACTTAGGTCAGTCGCGGCCGAGATTCGACCTCACGACCTTCCGATCACGGAGCGAGCGCTCTATCGACTGAGCTACCGTGAACGGTTACTACCGGTATGTTAGAAAACCTTCCTATAAGTTTCATATTTTCTGGTCCAGTGACTCTTGAGAAGATCTATAAATAAACCCACCAATTTTTTCACGAATTGTTTATTATCTCCCCTTGAAAGATGACTTAGACCTTTGTTTGAACAAACTTGAATTCCCTTTACCCAAAGTTGCTTTTTGTCAAGTTTGGTTGAAATTAGCCCAGCGGTTCTGGAAAAGATGTCGAAAATGTGAAAAGTTTACGATAACGACAGACAACGGTCAGTAAAGCTCATCTGAGCCTTTGGCCTTCAGTGTTTTTCTTTTCTTACCAAATTTCTTAATACTTTTACGTCAGTTAAGAAAGTTTCAGATTCCGTTAGAGTCATACACAAGTTATTTATCTTCCATTATACATATTATAGTCATATATTTTATCCATCTCCTATACTAGTTTTTCGGAAAATAAAGGCCCGATTGAGTGGACTCTCATCCGATGTAATGACAAAATATCCCTGGAATTGAGTTCCTCCTTCAGATTAATGTGTTTTGGTGTTGTTTGCACTTAATATGTCTTCTTAGGATGAGGTCGATAGGATGGAATTGATACACGTGGACTTTGATATTGGCCAAACGCTGATATTGCATTACACAGGAGAGCGAAAAACTGTCAGTCCGTCAACTTGACGCAAGTAAGACCAATGTTGAGGAAGAAATCAATTCATTGAAAAAAAGAGGTTTCGCCGAAAAGATTTATTCTCATTTCTTCGAGCTTCCTTTTTCTTCTCATATCTAATGTTTTTGTGATGTGGTAGACCTGGCTTTAATTTGCCTTTTCCATTCAAGACAGATCAGATATCCCAGATTTAGAAGTCAATCAAAGGAATTGGCAAATACTAAACCTAAGGAAATGCAAAATATGTTCTTTATCGGTTATGCAACTTTGAAATATTGACTTCTTTGCATGAGAAGCCTTTTCGTTTCCTCTTATTAGCCTACAACATTCTGCAGCGAGGACAAATGGTTAATTACAGTGATCGGGGGAACCTTAACCAATAGTTCAATATTCATCCCCTTAAATTAACAGGCAATGTACGCTCTTTTCCAAGTTATACGCTTAAAACACAAGACAAGGAAATTTTGCGCTGGTTGGTTCATTAAGACCAAACAGAGGGTTTCAAAGAAACTTGTTTAATTACTGCTTCTGAAATGTATGGTGTTTTGATTTTAATTTATACTTTTAAAATGCTATGAAACCTTTTGTATCCAGGTTTTGAAAATCTTAAATATAGTAATTCTATTGATCTTTTAATGCACTTAATTACATTACAAAATCGTCCAAGGTTTCTGGAAAAGGTCGCAGGGGGAGGTTCTCAGAGGGGTACTCCCTCCTTTAAGCAGAATTTTTGCTATCCTGAGCCGAAGGCTCAAATGAGCTTTTCTGATCGAAAAGTTCCTGCGTCCGTCTGTCTGTCACTCTGTCGTCTGTCATGTGTAGTCAGTAAACTTTTCGACTTCTTCTCAAGAACTACTGGGCCAATTTCAACCTGACTTGCCACAAAGTATCCATGAGTAAAAGGGATTCAAGTATGATCACATGAAGAGGTAAATAAGAATTAGTATAAATTTAATGACATTTTTTTAAAAATCTTCAGAACCGCTGGGCCAAAACTTGTTTAAAAAAAAAAGCTTCATCACTTAGTGTAGTTTTAAGTTTCTTGAAATCATTATCCCCGGAGGTGGGGTGGGCAACAACAGGAGTTCAAAGTTTTACATAGAAATATGTTAGTATAGGAAATATCTTTAAAAATCTTCTTCTCAAGAACAGCAAGTCCATGATTAGTCATGATAATACAGAAGCATCCTCGGGTAGTGTAGATTCCCCGCTGGGGGTAGTAGTGTTGAAACCACTTATATATTTAAACTTTTCTATATCGAATTGATTTCTGCTTTTGAATTTCTCTGGCCAAAGTGCTCAGGTGAGCGATGTGGCCCTTGGGCCTCTTGTTTTAATGGCTACCTTTGTGATTTATTATCGAGCATTTTGGAAGTCTGTTTTTTTTTTTCAAATAGAAGATGGGTGAACAAGGCAAGCAAAATTCCTATTGTGCAACAATTATGAAAGCGAAAAATTAAATCTCAATTATGACAAATTTTTTTTATAAAATATACTTCGTTTAATAATAAAGTATATTGCATAAAAACTCTACTAATGGCAACAACCTCATACCGATTGAAACTTAGCATACACCATAGAGAGCAAAAGTGGTCATTCTTCATACTAAAACACAATTTTCTAATTAGTGAGTTTTTGCTCCATACTCAAAGAATGCATAAAAATGTAGACATTCTTCAGTTTTAAAAAAGCATGGAGCAAAGACCCATTTTACCTTAAAAATATACTTATGTGACATGACATTCGTATTTTACCGAGAAATATTTGAAGTTTATTTAGTCAAGGGTCATATCACTTACGTGATTTAGATGCCGGTATTTTTTATGAGCGGCATAGCGTAGTGGGTACGTAGCTTGTTAGTCCCGAAGAGAAAATTGATATTCAGGGTTTTTATTGCTTTGGTTAGAACCCCCAAGAATAACACACAGACCCATAGCAACGGTTTCAAAAGTGAAGTGTGTGTGGGGGGGGGGGGGAGATTTTCAAAATCTGACAAGCAAAAAAAGAAAAAGAAAGAAACTGTCCAAAAAGGGGGGGGGGGCAACTTGCCAAAATAATCTGACAATTAATCTAAAATGTCCAATAAAATTCTTGTATTTGCCTGTGATGACCTTACAGTAACAAAGAGTGGGGGGGGGGGGGGTCAGCTTTTAAACGGAAATTTACCGTAGCAAATTAAAATACTATACTCAGAAAAAAAGGTTGGGACACTCATCACTGCGTTCTACGGGGCTGCCACATTTTTTTAAATCATAGAATGATTTTTGTCGAAAGAATTTTCCGCAGAAAAGTTTTGTTTGTCATAATTTTGTACCTTTCAATCATAAGAACTATACTCTATATACTAAATTCACAAACTGAATATGACTTTTATGCATTTGAAGCTACAGGCATTTTGCACGCCTTGTTCGCCCATCTTCTTTATAAATAAAATCTAGTACAGCATTACTTCAGACTAGAAGCTAAAATACAAATGAATATTTGAAACACTAATGCTCTTTAGTCTTTAAAAAAAGGGGGAAAAAACAAATGGTTTAAATATTTTCCAAAAGAAAAATGGACAACCGAATTTCCACTCGCTTCAAATTCATTTATACACTTATTCCAAAGCATCTCTGAATGTTTACAAGCCGTTGGCAGCTGTTAAAGACACGACATTCAGCTCTGTTAACGGACAGATGGAAAACATATTTTTAAAAAAGCAATATTCATGATGTATCTATTCTTTTGATGAACAATCGATACTGCAGTGGAGAATGACAGACTCATTAGGCACGTATATTGGGACTTTATCTTGTGTTTTAAAGATAATACGGTTACTGGTGCTCGTAAACTAATTCTTGGCACGTCAATACTCATAACATTCAACACCCCCGTCCTAATTCGGTGGCTGTGTTCTCAAGAAAATACGCTATTTGGAGGAAATTATCTACACTCTGTAGCGGACTCTCTGGGGGCTGCAGGAGAAAGCATTAATTCTTCTGCAATTCTGTAACTGGAAAAACTATGCTGTAAAATACGTAGTAAGATAGAGAGAGAATGTCTCCAGAGAATAGTAAAGAAATAGAAGGGTTAGAAAAAGATAATGCTGTAAGCTTGACAAAATTCCAAAGATTGGAAGCAACGTTCACGATCGAGTTCACAACTTACACGCTTAATTTATTGAACATTATTGCCCTATGTTTCTTAAATATTAACACACAAAGGACATGAGACTGGTCTACATAACAAATTAGAGTCACGGCATTTTCTATACGTATTAGTAGGTAGATAATATCATTATATATCGATATTACATGCGTCATGTGTATACATAGTAAAAGAGCACTTCGTGACTGCTGTATAAAACATCTCACCTCGACAAAGTTCATAAAAATTGGAATGCTAAATACTCCCAGTGTCATTTAGTAGAGCTTCCTCCATAGTAAACTACTCCCCCAGAAGAATTCCTATGATATAGTACTAAACCTTCCTGGAAGGGAAGGTGCAAATTGTTTCGTAAGCTGTCTTTCAAAGAATTTGTCAAAAACCTGAGATAATGAAACTTAGAACCGAATAAGTTTCAAAATAATTTCATTATAATATACACAAAGGAAATTTGTTATTGAATCTCCAATCTCTTTTACAGGATCGCCTTCATTTATTTCCGAAAACTCCGTTTTACTCAAAGTAAGCGTCATTCTGCGGTAAATAGTTCTCTCTAATACCATTAAGAATTAAACAATTTAAGCAATCTGAAATTAATTTTCAAGGAAATTTTCTAAGAAGAATTTCCATTTTGGAAAACCTAAGGTTAGGTTGAGATCCTTCAAACTTAACACAATTAATTCTATTTACTATCATCTCAGTCCAATTTGAAATACCAACGGATTCAAATTCATAGGCAGACAGCTCGACAGCTTACAAACAATATCAGCCCCCGTTCCTTCGATACTTGCAACATGTTTTCTACACACGCTGAATCTATGTCAAAATATCATAATATAATATTTCTCCATTATTTTCTTAGAAAACCTGTTGATTAACTTTAACTAGTTCGAACCAGTTTTTTGATGCCGTCTGTACATGAAAGAATTCGTAAGCAGTGAGCTCTTCTGTCAATGAAACATACCATGACATACAGATGAATACCCGGTAAATAAATACAATATTTTTCGTACCTCAATATTCGTGTACTTAATATGATTATTTATAAAGACATAAATATAACCAATAATGTTATTAATAGTGGGATTAAAGGTTGTCATCATATATACTGCAGAAAAAATTGCAGTGGTTGCAACCTTTAATTCCCGTATTAACATATAAAGAAAGCATTTTACAGTTTAAATAATGTCAAAATAATAACATATCATTGTGAATTGAACACCTCTCGGCACATATCACATGAATTTTATCCATATTAGGCATTTGTTAATACGGAACCGTTTTGGTGATGCAAATAATACGAAGGTTGTCCCAGAGAAACATAAAAATATTTATGTTAAATAATATATATTAAGTTAAGAATGTGCATGCAACATAAAGAAGGAACATGAACTGGGTCACTATGACCTATATCTGTAATTTTTGATTATGAAATATGAAGATAACGAACAGTAATCAAGCTCAAAATTCCAATGAAACAATACAAATCAGGAGCAGAGGAAACGGACCTCTAAAAACATCAGAGGTGGGATCAGGTGCAACAGAGGAGTAAGAATCCCCTGTCGACCTGTCACCCTGCAATGTGCTCCTTGTCATGATCAGGCAAACAGAAAAATTTGTAGACAATTCATTGAAAATAAAGGCCTAACAATTTGTTTATTTTATTTTATAACTTAACTATCATTATTCAGAGTATAATCATCCCATCTTTAAATACATTTATCTCTTGGACATTTATCATTGCATAATGACCCATGTTCTGTGCTGAATTTCGTCCATAACTTCACAAGTTGATCAACCACAGATGATACAATACAGGCACATACCACAATTTATATCTTTAGTGAAATATAATCACCAAGCTTCCTAGCATTTTTGACACAGTTAAATTGGTCTGCTTATTTAGCTGATAACTAAATCAAATATCTATATCACTTCCTTAACAAATCACAACCACCCACGCCTGTTGTAATTAACCTGAGGATATAAAACAGAATGAGTCACTGCATGTGTGGGAGGAATAATGAGACAAACGTGTATTTCATATCTCAGCTTGGAGATCTTCAAGAGGGTCTTAAATCCAACATTCTTTTTTGTAAATGGTAACCAGAAATCTCTGATGAGACTGTAGCTCAACTGGTTTGTACTTACAACAAAGGAAAGATCAAAGAATACTTGGACTTGAAACTTTGCAACAACAATAAATAGAATAATGATCCTTGGCTTAATCTCTTTTTGTGGCAAGTTTTTTTTGTCATCAGACTAAAACTGTAGGAGGAGTAGCCTTTCAAAAGAATTTTACAGAAATTTTGATTTTAGTAACCATGGCAACATCATTCCACAAAATCAAAAAACAATGAGGACAATTATGTATATCAGAGTAGTCTACTTGTGTGCCAAATTATATTGAAATCAGACCAAAACTCTAGGAGGAGTAGCATTTTGAAAGTATTTCAAGAATATTCTATTTTTAGTAACCATGGCAACACCATTCATCAAAATCAAAAACTGATACAGGGAATCATGTATCTAAGGGTAGTCTACTTGTGTTCCAAGTTATAATGAAATCAGACCAAAACTATAGGAGGAGTAGCATTTTGAAAGTATTTCAAGGAAATTTCTATTTTTAGTGACCATGGCAACACCGTTCATCGAAATAAAAAACCCATACATAGAATCATGTATATCTTAGTGTAGTCTACTTGTGTGGCAAGTTAAATTAAAATCAGACAAAAACTGTAGGAGGAGAAGGGTTTTGAAAGTATTTCACAGAAACTTCTATTTTTAGTAACCATGGCAACACCGTTCATTGAAATTAAAAACCCATAAACAGATTTATGTATCCTAGTGTAGTCTACTTGTGTGCCAAGTTATATTGAAATCAGATCAAGACTGTAGGAGGAGTAGCATTTTGAAAGTTTTTCTAAGAAATTTCTATTTTTAGTAACCATGGCCACACCATTCATTGAAATCAGAAACCCATACATATAATCATGTATCTTAGTGTAGACTACCTGTATGCCAAGTTATATTGAAATCAGACCAGAACTGTAGGAGGAGTAGCGTTTTGAAAGTATTTCCCAGAATTTCTATTGTTATAACCATGGGAACACCATTCATCGAAAACCAATAAATAGAATTATGTATCTTAGTGTAGTCTAATTATGTACCAAATTACTACGAAATCAGTCCAAAACTGTTGGAAGAGTAGCATTTAGAAAAATTGTTTACAGACAGATGGACAGGCAGCTAGACGGACGCAGGACCGACACGTTACTATCACATAAGCTATTCTGGTCTCTGACCAGTAGAGCTAAAAATTGGTATTCTTAATATCAGCAAATTCTGATTTTTTAAAAAATTTATTACAGATCAATCTACAGTCATAACAATCATTATAATTTATAATAGCAATTAAAACCCTGGGGTGGTGTGAAGTTTTACCAATAAAAAGTCCAATATTTCATGTGACTGAACTTTTGAATTACATAATAACAATTGCTGAAAGTATCTACTAGGCATTAATAACATTCCATTTTTAACTGCATTTCTTTGTATTGTTTCTTACATTCTTTTTGATTTTTTAAAACAAAGGTGGAGTTCTATCATTATGATTGCACAACTTATTATCAATATTTCATCAAATGAATTCAACACAAATAACAATGTGATTAGAAGCTGCTTATAACAATGAACCAACATGTATGCAATACGTAAAAACACAACATATAACCATTTATATAAAATACCAGATTTGTTGATATTTTTTTCTCCACTAAAGATATATCTATTTTTTTTAGTAGAAATAGAATAAGTTTGAGCTGTAAACAATATCCCTCTCCCAGAAACGTTGTTGATTTTTATAAACTCCTCAACAATTCTAGATAACTATGTAACATATCCATATATTAACTCATTAAATTATGAAGTAAACTACATATCCATACATACTCATAAAAGTTTGTAGTTAACTACATTATCATTACATTTGGGGGGACAAATCAGTGTTTACAATCACATATTGACAAAACAAAGTAAGAAGTGGGTTACTTAACTTTGTGTAATTTGTTTCCACTGGGGTAAAAATGTTGGCAGAACAAGGTTTTACTGCTAAGGCGCAGCCCATTCTCATTAAAATTTTTACCACATTTTTTTTCCTTTTAGTGTTTATTTCTCAGGTAGCACCTAAGGACAATAAGTAACAACAAAATCAAAGTACAATGACCACAACTTCACATCTCTGAACAGTAAAAACTCGCAGTATAATATCTAATCATTTTTGCTGATGTACAATCTGATTTCATATGAAATGACTATGTACCAGTAATAAAAGTATTCCTTACATATATACACATGTACAAGCATTTGTAAAATTTCATTTGATATTAATCTCACATCAGATATTTCACTTTCAAACAAAATTAAAAAATAAACACAACTCATAGAAAACATAGCCTAGAGCAATGCAATTTGATTTTTAAATAAGAAAGTTTTTGCATAAATCATTATAATCATAAAATCATGAAGTAAATAAGCAGAGTATTGTGTAATATATATGTCTATGTTATAGCTTTGGTAAATGATTACATGGGAACTGCTGATTCTTACATTTGTTTTTCTACTGTAGAAGTTCCTATACTTTGGTATGAGTTTACATGGAAACTGCTTACATTTTAAGGATGATATGAATTTAATACAGCGTAATGTCACCAGCTAGCATTGTGACTGTTGGCTACCTCAGCCAGAAATTCTATATGACTTGCATAGAGGTCTAGTTTACCACTTAAGTCCATCCACTGCACATTCATTGCATCATCACCTAAAATAACATGAAAGTGATTTACTTTTTTTATATTCTTATTCAACAACATACAAAATGTTCCTGTACCTTACAAATAACACACACTCACAATAACCTTTCATACTGACCACTTAACTTTGAGTAATTGATAAAAGATTTTTCCTAAATTTTTACCAAAACTTGGATATTATTTCCATGTAATCCTTAGAAGAAAAATACCACAGACACTTACATTTTTATGTAATAAACAGTATTCAAATATAAATACATGTAATATCATCTTCCAACAATATTCAATACCAAAAAACAAGAGGCCCATGGACCACAACACTCACCTAAGTACCATTGGCCCTCCCAGTCTTCATCACAAGATTTTAAGGGGAAAAACATCCATCTTTATTCACATGAAAAATTTCTTACCCCATAGTGTGATCCCACCATAGCTCCAAAGAGTTATGACATAACCTAAAAACATCCATCTTTATTCACATGAAAAATTTCTTACCCCATAGTGTGATCCCACCATAGCTCCAAAGAGTTATGACATAACCTAACTTGAATCAACACATACTGAATGCTTCAATATCATCATGACTAACATGGATGTACTGTTCTGCAGAAGAAGTGAACATGAGGTGAAAACTGCTCCTGATTTTAGTCTTACTCTAGTCTTACCCCAGGGTCTATTATTTGCCTTTTAAAATATTGATCTTGTATTGTGGCCCACCTTACCCTACAAGGACATGATTTCAACAAACCTGGATCAGCACTACATGTGAATACATATTAATATCACTAAGCATGGCCCTTCTGTTTTTGATATAAAGTTTTTAAATAGTTTTTCATACACACATATATTTCCATGTTAACCATTGATCCCTATATGTGGCCCCACCCAACATTTGGGGGGGGGGGGAGGGGGGGTCATGACTGATCAACTTAAGATCTTGCACTACCAAGTGTTGCTTGCAATTTAATATTACTGATCATGGCCCTCCAGTTCTTGAGAGGACAATTTTAAAATATATTTTACTATATAGTCCCATGTAAAACTTTGATCCCTATTGTGACCCAATTCTATCCCCAAGGGCATGACTTGAACAACTTTTATCTGTACTACCTGAGGATGGTTGCCATAATATTATTAATCATGACTCCTGTAAAGAAGATTTTAACACATTTTCTCCAAACATCCCATGTAAAAATTTGATCCCCTTTTGTGAACCAACATTACCCCTGGGCTGGAGGCCATGAGTTGAATAAACTTGAATCTACACTATGTCAGGAAGCTTCAAAATAAGTTTCATCTTTTCTGGTCCAGTGGATTTTTAAATGACCCCACCCAATTTTCATTATTTCTCAATTATGTCCTTTTGAAAAATTGCCTTTCCCTTCATTTGAAAAACTTAAATCCAATTCATCAAGGATGCTTTGTGGCAAGTTTGGCTGAAATTGACCCATAAGAAGAAATATTGCGAAAAGTTTACAGTACCTACTTCTACAATGATGATAATGCCAAAAAACAAGGGACAAATTTTAGACAGAAAAGCTCACTTGAGACTTTGCCTCAGGTGAGCTAATAAGTGACAACAAAATTGAAATATCAAACAAAACTTGTAACAGAAATCCTACATTCACCTTAAATCCTTAGTAATTATCAGACAAGAAATCATTTGTAAGGAAACCCTTCTGCAGGAAAGATAACTCCTATTTCAATCGTACCTTACTATCAATCTTTTGCCAAGTGCCAAGTATTTTGTGACACACAAACATCCACACTCGCCAACACCAAAAAATAGCAAATTCTAGCTCATACTGACCTCTATCCAAAACATTACATCCCCATTTATTAATACATAAGGTACTTCAGAAATTTCAAAACTTTACATATAACAAGAATAGATATGGGTTACCCCATATCCAAGATATTCGACTTTTAATTTATTCGAATTTGCATTGTGCTCAGATGATTTCTAATAAAAAAAAAACAAGTATTTACTGATAAAATGTCAGAGATACTCAAGCTTTAGAAAGTCAACTATAAAAGTGCCATAAAAATCCTAAAATGACATAATATTTAGGCTACTGAGTTTCAACATATTTTGTTGAATAAAATATGCGTGTACTAGGAAACAAACTGCATGTACATATATAACGTTACATGCATCTACAGTGACTTTATCACAAAGTTGCACATAGTTTTAAAATAGTTTTAATTTCACATAGAACATAGACTAAATATAATTAATCGTACAATTTTAAAAATGTATTTAACACCTCACTCATTTTCAGAAATATTTGATCCAAATAGCATGTTGCAATGTACAGGCCTCTAGCAACGTTTTCAAAGTGAAAAGGGGGGGGGGGGGGGACTCTGAAAAAATCCCGCGTTAACTATGGGTCTGTGGTACATGTGTACCATCTAACTTTCCAAGGATAGAATCTTAGAACTGTGAAAAAAAAAAAATCAAAACAAGTCCAAGCCGCTATGGATTATCAAAGCCCATGCAGTTTTTTTGTTTTTTTTTTAATAGCAAAACTATATAGATCTATCAAGGATAGATTTTAATTTATTTTTTAATTTTGTGCTATTAAAGTACTATTACTCAACGTATATAGGCAGATGTTAAAGATGGGTCAACCTGTCACCTTTTAGAGTAATCAATGAACTCGTCCAGAGATGCATTGACGGTCGTTGTTAAACGCAAAGGAAAGCGCGAGATCAGTTGTGGAGCATCACTGAATATTCCTTATAGTCATAGAATAGAATCCGACATTTAACACTTAACATAGATTTTGAATATACAGACGTTTTGAAGATAAACTTCATTTTTGTTTCTAGAAATGTTTTTAATTACAGAAATTGTATATTTTCGTGATTTTAAACTGAGTAGATTGATGACCTAGCATCATTTTAGATAACTCAGCCCCTCTAGCCCAGTCTATCGCTTGAGTAAAAAACTTGCACTCTTCTTCATCAGTTCATGTCCATATCAAATACTGATACCCAATCTACATGATCTAAGCGTCACTAACGAACGGTGCATACACCTGTGCTTGCAAGACCAAATAGCCTAGGTCTACACAAGTGCGAAGATCCTTTCCAACGAGTTGCTTTGCCAAGAAGTTACCATTGCAGACCTGTGTCTAACCATAATAACCATTCCATTATTTAAAAAAAAGAAAAATAAAACACACAAAATTAATGATTAACATTCTCACTCAAAAGAAAATATACGACAATTAACAAACAATAATCATGAAAGTAATATAATTGGTGAAAAGATTTATCATTATCAATCAAAGTATGACCTATATATTTTCGTGAAAAAGACTGAGGAGGCAGCGAGCGTAGGAATATGAAAACATTTTATTTGCTTTTCTGGGGAAAAAGTGATTTTCTTAAAATCTTTTTACGTTAATTTTGCTTTCTTTAACATACTAAATGTATATCATTATTCTTAACATTTGTTGTAATGTTGTATCTACTGATCATGAATGGAACTCTTTTCTTCGGAGCAATTGTGTGAAGAGTACCTGACTTTAGTAATATATCTTGAATAGATAATATGCACTGATCGAATATATTAAAAATTACTTAATACTTTTCTCAGACAGAAAGTTAGACATGTGGGTAAAAAAAAATGCCCTAAGATAAGAAACCTGTGATGGAACAGAAGTCATTTATACTAGGACAAGTAATCAGGAAGGTTACTTGATGTCTACATCAGTATTTACTATGTACCGGTACTTAAGTCAGTAATCAGGGGCAGGACAGACTAGTCACTTACTACATGTCTACATCAGTATTTATAAAGTACTTACGTCAGTAATCAGGGGCAGGACAGACTAGTCACTTACTACATGTCTACATCAGTATTTATAAAGTACTTAACTCAGTAATCAGGGGCAGGACAGACTAGTTATTTATTACATGACTACATCAGTGTTTACTAAGTACTTTGAGTCAGTAATCAGGGGCAGGACAGACTGCTTATCTATTACCATGATTACATGTCTATGTCTAAATAGTTTCTGTCCATAATTTGAGCTTTTTGTCAGTTATCTCAAGTTGGAAATAATCTGGGTTCTTTTTTCTATTTAAATTTCATAACTTTTAGACATATAATTTTTTATATTTACTTTAACTTCTGTTTTGTCAATATGTTTCATACATGAACTTATATGTTCATCAGTATTTTTTAGGCCTTTGGGGTTTAGGTAAATCCTGATCATTGCTAATGCATGTATACAACATAGAAAAATAATTCGGAGCATAACACGGAAGCATAATTTCTGGGGAGAATTGGTAATCCATATTTTGAAACAAAAATCTAAGACAACTATGAAATAGCAACTCTTTATATAAAGTCATAAAACCATATCCTTTTTCCCATTCATCCACACTTTTAATTATATAGGTTTGTAATATCACCTTACCTGCACACAATTGAATTTTTCCTAAACATGAGCTATCTTCATCATGGAAATTCATTGCTACTGTCTCCATCCAGGCATTATCTGTGTTTCTGGGGTCATCCACATAACCTCGGTAAACCTGTACAATCATAACAACACTGTAACCTCATTCAAGAAGAAAGTCATTCATCAATACACCAGTGTAGAATCAAAGATCCAGTTAAACTTTGTAAATAAACATTTTTTATTACATTTTCAACAGTGAAATACCATAACTTATTTATTGAATAAAGGTGATATTCTGTCAGAGTGTGAAAGATATCAAAGTGATATTCTGTGACAGTGTAACAGAATATTAGAAGTGTGGCAAAACTCGAGATTTTCCTTCCCTTCAAGAAGAATATTGTAAAAAATTCTCCCTGGCCTGTTATACGATAAAGAGCGTAAATAAACCATCCTAACAGAGACTAAAACTGCCAAAGTTTTTTTCCAAATATGTTTTTAAAATACGTTTACAATATGTTCAAAATCACGATCACTTATAAGCTACATGTATGACTTCTAAAACTGCTCAACTATGATGTCACAGCCTATGACACTCTGTTACAAAAAGACATATAGGCATAGGGACAATCAAAGAAAATGTAATAAACAGAAAATTCAATATTTTGTAGAGGAATATGGAATTTTTTTCACTCATGAGACAGGATTTTTTATGCTTTCACTCGCTTTGCAGTAATGAAAATATCAAAATGTCTGTCCCACTCATGAAATAAATTCCATATTCAACTACTAAAACATTGAATATCCACTATTTAAAATGCAGTAAACATTATACAATTACATTTCCTTATAACAAAAAATATAGTCCCCCTACTCAATAAATCATATTTTATTAGGTTATATTTTTTGTGATAAGAAACATATATAATGTTTGGTGCCCGTTTTACAATGTCAGCCGATTTTAAAGAATTTGTATCAGAACCCAGGACCCAAAGAATGTCTCTCCTCTAAACTATACTAAATCCATTGTTTTAATCATATAATAACACATTGTGCAGAAAGATAATGTTCACTCATTACCTCTCGCCCTGTGGAAAAAAGTTCATCTAATTCTTTCTCTACCCTCTGTTTTTCTGCTGGAGACATTTCCATTGAATTGAGGGCTTCCTCTCCAAATTCTCGTCTCACTGTTGCTGTGACAACTTCACCAGCATCCACCATTCCCTTAATAAAATTATAAAACACTCTAATAAAACAAAACTATCAGTCAAAAGGGAATCATTATTATATATTATATGTGGTCTTTGTTATGAAAACAAGGGCAGTGTAAGTAATCTTGACATATCCATTAAAAAGAATACAGATACACTGTAATTTTATTTTGGTAATAATGCCTTCTATAACTATGTTGCAATAAAACTTTCACTGTCATGAAATTCTTGGCCAGAAACTATTGCAGGGTTATTCCTAAGAATTTAAATAGCAGGGGACATTTAAAAAGTAGAAGGGGGATCCCTCCATAAACAGGGTGATGAGGGAAAATACCAGAGTTACTGGGGGATTCTGTCATTATAGGTGGGGAAATTCCCTGGCCCTCAGGTCTTAGGTACAACCCTGCTATTGGGAAGATAATTTAGTTGAAGGAAAATAAAACAGAAAAATTTATATCAAAAGGATTGTTTCATTAAAATGTACATTTGTGTACCTCACATTGGCATTACTCTGTGCCTAAAGATAAAGATACACCATAACAACACTTCACAAGTGAACTGCTGATCAAGAGTCTTTAAATGTATTTGGGTAATATAAGAATAATAGCGAGTAATTTTACATTGTATATCACAAGTGGTGCTTGCAAAATTATGCAATAATAAATTCCTTGTACAGTGTATATATTTAGGAATCTACTATAACGATAAAATAATTCTTATTTAAAGTTAGGTTGGTCTCTGAAGAGCTATTTTCCAACTACAGTGAGAAATTACAATGTAAAACATCCCCCCCCCCCCACCACCATCTATAAGACAAATTAATAATATCCACCCCTGGAAAAAAATTACATGTGCAGGTAACTAGTTTTCAATTTCCTTCTTATATATTTTTCTCAGCAAAACTCCTTAGGCAAAAGATACAGAGTTTAACTGAAGAAACATTGATTGGGCACTTCTCACACTGGTTTATGCTGTGTTTTGCCTAACTTTTCACACTGATTAATGCTGTGTTTTGTCTAACTTTTCACACTATTAGTGCTGTGTTTTGCCTAACTTGTCACAAGTGTTAATTGGGTGTTTTGCTTATCTAACTGGACACACTAGTTATTGCAGAGATTTGTTTCACACTGACCCCTGGAATGGCCCATTGGTGGTTGTCCCTCCGCTGAACAGACACAAACTGAAGGACAGGTTTTGAATCAGGTCCCTGTATAGCCTTCCCTGAATCATCTCTCTTCCATCTGCACAAAGTACAACTCTATATAATACTGCTTATTGTTACTTTTACATCTTTTATTTCCTTTTAATAAAATATGTAACACTTGTTAAACTTGGGTGAATCAACTGTTAGATTATGTTGTTATTTCAAACAAAGGTCAAAGTAAAACTTCTAGAAGAATGAGAGACTGGAAGATAAAAAAACCATAGAATTTTGGCCTTACATTCTGGGTGTCCATTTTTTGGACATTATTTTACCTTGTGACAATGGGGTCAGCTGCATGATTGGGTCCCCATCTCCCCAGCTGTCCCCTTCCTATGACTCCAGTTCTACCCCGGGGATTCCTGAAAATCAATCATAGATACTATATTAATCAGGATACTATATGACTTCCTGAACATCTCTTAAGAAGGAGAACAACAAAGACATCTGTCAGGTACAATAAATGTCAGAAATAATAGGTAGTAAGCTAAAGCAGCCAAAAACAAAAAATCATCAGTGACTAAGACTGACCAAAAATCATCAGTGACTAAGACTGACCAAAAATCATCAGTGACTAAGACTGACCAAAAATTTATCACTTGATAATTTATCTAATTTTGTTCTCACTTCTACTGGCAAAATGGGTGTTCTAATATCACTTTACTTACAGGTCCTGTGTACATGACTGCATGATTTATTTTGAATCTAATTCCTATCTAATCTAGTATCTAATTGAAATCTCTCCCACTATTTCAAAAGGCAGTCTTATTTATGGAATATTTAATTTTGCATTTTGAAGAAATGCAATACTGTAGTAAATGGTGACACCACAATACATACCTTGGCACACCATTTATGACTTCATATTTTCCCATATGACTGACTCTGTTAATTTTACCATCACAGCCATTGAAATTCAGTGGAGGATCTACTTTCTCATTTCTAAATTAAAAAGAAACACATTTTAACAGACAATCAAATTGTAATTATATACAATATTAGCATGAGTCAATGACTTTGAGGGGAAAACTTCTTTTTTCCTATTCTGCTCATTTTGTTGTTACATGTATGACTTCATTCCGTGAACTAAATAATAAAGAATACAATAGAAATGAAAAATAAAACAGAATGTAAGGTTTAAGTAGTGCAATTGACTTAAATACTGCTGCATCAGTAGAGAAATTTATATTTAAAATACATGTACATGTATATGTATTACATGTACAACTTTAGCATTAGGTCTTATGATAAGAAAGTTTCTCATTCTCAGATGCAATGATGCAAAGTCATGTATGTACATAATGTTACAAACGAAATTTTCTTATAAATTTCTATAAAACATATTTGTCTTGGTCAACCAAACTTTTACATCTCATACTCAGATAACAAGACAAACTGTTTTAAGATTCTCTTAGTTTTGGACCTAATATCAGAATTACATAGAAAGAACATTAAAACATTGATTTCACTTAGTTCTAAATATACCTTATATCAGGGTCAGCATAGACAGGTCGTTTTAAGATTGACGGTGCTGTGTAATCCACCGGTTTATAATCAGGAAAACTCACTGTCCATGGGACCTTCTCATCAGGAACAGGAAACCGCTTCACTTCACTCCGGGGGTAAATCTCACACCGTGCTTTTATATGGCACTTGGGCTTCATAGCAGATGAAAATCTTGCCACAGATGTGGCTTTATTTCCCATAAACCCTCTGTTCTGCAGCAGAAATGTAAAAAAAAACATTAAAATGATCAAATATAAGCTGAATCAGGGAACCTGTTCTTCATTTACACATTGTATTACACAGTTGTACCCCTAATCTATAATGTAATTTGAAATAATTCTGTTAACATTTCAAACTATTCAAAGTAGAGACTGAATGAGTTGTACTATTGGTTTTTGTTTAATAGTTTTATTACTGTGTTAAAAAAACACTTCCTTTTAAGCTACAGTTGATTTCTGGTCACACCTCTCTCTAAAATGGTGTATTATCATGCAAAATACATGTTTCACACATCTGTATAGTGCACTCACCACTGAATATACTGGATATGGTCAGTAATATATCATATTCACACTGAAAGGTATGATTTACCCTACTGCTAAAGTATTACATATCTCCTTTAGTGTGTACCTTTCGCCTACATAGGGCTTTCAGATACTCCACAGATAACCACACTGTGACGATCATTCTACCGACGAGTGACTCGATACCGAATGTTATTATGGTTACAGTGAATAAACAATGTACGTTACGGGTGTGGTCATTTTTAGATATTTTATTAGAAGCATGTTCACATTTTTAAATATCAAGTCTTGGCCCGCAATGATAAAATCCGTAAAATTAATGACATACTTTATATACTTTAGTGAATAATTTAGTTTCGCAGCAAAAAATCTCTTTAGTTCCGGTTATTAATTTTGAATGATTTCGCAGCGAGCGAGGTTTGTGCGGAGATGGGAAATCGATATGTGAATATATATCTGCATGCTAGCTTAGCCTTGGCATACTACACTAATGTAAATGTTGAATTAAACCTAACTATCTTATACTTACTCCAAAAGTAGCTTCTTCTATCGAGGAAACAAATAAAATTACAAGTTGTAACATGCACAAAAACTCACAACAATAACAATCAACAGTGACGCCCCTTGAATAGCGAGAGGAAGTGATTTTGGGTTGATCCCGATCCCGATCGAGATTCTGATAGGGGAATAATCCCTCCGACTTCTTAAATCATATCTTACTATTTTCAGATAATATCAAACGAAAAATAAAAATGCACTACCCGTCATTTGATTTGCAAATCTTTGTTATTTATATAACAGGCACATAGCAAGGTAGTTTTATTTCTAGATCAAGGTGAGACATCAAACGAGGTTGCAAAAATGATTTTACGGGAAAAGTTGGGATATTTTAGCAAATATATGTATCTTGAGAAAGGAAAATCAGTATGCAGAGTCAGAGAGAGGAAAAGAAACTGTCATGCATAAAAAAATTTTTCTTCCGGATCACACAATGGGACCCCCCCCCCCCCCGGCCAAAAAAAGTTCATGGAAATCACACGGGAACTTCCAGTATTACATCATATTTCCCAGTTATTTCCTTAGAGAATCTTAGTTAAACGTTTAAACAACTTTTATTGTAAAATATAAATAAATAGATGAGAATCCCCGCAGTTTTAAGTTGTGATAAATGAATAACAAGTAGGTCTATTTCATCCAGCATTTTATGGAATATTGAAAAAAAAGAACGATACGAAAGCCTAGGAGGGTCAAATTAGGAAAATGAAAAAAATAATAATAAAATTCGTAATAACGACTTTTTATCTCGTACTTACCATTTTTTATCTCGTAATTACGACCTTCTTTAGTTGTAATAACGACTTTTCATCTCGTAATAACGACTTTTTATCACATTATTTCGACTCGTAATAACGACTTTTTATCTCGTAATAACGACTTTTTATCTCGTTATTACGTTTTTATTTTTTTTATTTTTTTTTTTTCGTTTTCCTAATTTGACCTTTCCATATAACGGAAACATACGGAAATTTAGGACCTATCAAAAATATTTTTGAATTCGATATAACGCATTGTCGAATTTGTTATAACGAATTTAATTCGTTATAACAATTTCTTTGAGTTTGTTATAACTAATTTAATCTGTTATAACAAATTTGTTGAATTCGTTATACAATAATTATATAATCGTTATATAGAATTCAAAAATTTGTTAAAACGAATTAAATTCGTTTAAACGAATTCTAAAATTTGTTAATTAAAAATATATGAATTCGATATATCGATTTGTCGAATTCGTTTTAGCGAATTTAATTCGTTATAACAAATTGAAGAATTCGTTTTAACGAATTTAATTCGTTATAACAAGTTTTAGAATTCATTAAACGAATTTCATCTGTCAAATTAGGAAAATGGACCTAATTTGGCCCTTCTAGGTTTTCGTAGAACGACAATCCGTAATAAAAATATTGATATCTATTTTATTTTCACCGGATCTCTAACCTGCTTATAAAAGGGGAGAAAAGATAGTACACACAGTGAGACATTTTTCATAAACATATCGGGATCAGGGTCGGATTCTTTTTTTTTTTTTTTTCAAAAGGGGTGGGGGGGGGGGGAGGTAAATGACTGTATGCTGATCGCACGATTCTTCTTGATGTATTACTCAAACTCTTTAATTTTTTTCTAGTCTGAAATAATAATCATCAACATCATCTACAATTTCAATCATCATCTGGACACAACATTATCATATCTGAATTTAAATACGCGTGTGATGCCAATTTTGTCTCTATCATCATATCGGTTTTCGAAGTTTTTGAAAATATTTTTTTTAAATGCTTTGGGGTACATGGATATATTGAACAAATAAATACATATGTAAACAAAAACAAAAACAAAACAAAAACAAAAAAAAAAAAAAATAGAAAAAAAATTCTTGAATGACAAAGAAAGTTTGATCTTGTACATAAATATTTTAACGAAATATATACAACTCAAATTAATTTAGAATGACTATTCGTTTTATTGAACAAAATCATACCGGCGTTTATAATACCGCAGAGATATTTTTTTAATGTTATTAAAGTTTATTCTACGCTATTTTTGATTTTCAAATGTGGAATTGTACATTGTACATTGTAACTACAGGCCCGTAGGAAGCAATTTCAGTTGGGGGGGGGGGGGGCACAGCCATACATTTTCAGTTGAGGGGGCACTACCAAAAATTCCCCGACAAGCAAAAAAAAAGGGGGGTGATCAACTACCAAAAAAATTCCCTGACAAGCAAAAAAAAAAAAGGTCATCAGACGTTTTTATTGAGTGGGCACAAGCATATAGTATCTATGTTTACTACAGTAATCTATATATCGGCAAAATTATTGGGGGGCACGCCCCCCGTGCCCCCCCTCCCCGGTTCTTACGGCCATGAACTATATGCTAGAGAAATAATTAATGTACATTGTAGACAAAAAAAATATCCTAAGACCCTCGGCCCATGTGTATATTTGGGGCGGGGTTGGGGATGGAATGAGAAGTACAAATTTAATTATAAGGGTCGACTGCCTCCACCACCTTTTGTTGTAGTATGATGATGCCCTCCAACGAAATTACATTTGCATTCTTGCATTATATTTGGGTTTTTCCTTTTCCTCCACTCGAATTTGTTTTAGAATTCTAGATCCGCTGCCCATCCTATGCACCTTTCTCAAACTGATAAAATACAGGCGAGTTTTTAAACAAGAAATCATTTTAAAAAAATCTTATAGACAGAAATGTTTTATGTCGAACGAATATATTGAAAGAACAAAGTGAGAAAAGTCATGTAGAACTAGAGGACACAAATAAAGGGCCCCAGGCGCGACTCATAAATAAATTTATCACCAAATTTTATCCCGTATCGGGAATAATTTGTTATATTACTGCGTTCTATGATATTTGTTGCTTTAATATCATGTAATGTTATAAAATCCTGAGAACAAAAATTGTGTTACATGTATTTGTACACAGTGGCTAGGTGGCCCCAAGACATGCAGCCACGCTGCGTGGACAGCTCTCACGCCCGCTATGGTTTAGCTTCATCCGTCAATACCGTTCAGAAATAAATCAAGGGTTTTATATGTTTATAAAATACTTATAAATACATTTGCAATGTTTACTAAATATTTTGTGAATGTATTTTTATTTATCAATTGAAAATATACATAGTGCGAGTTGTTATTATTTTTTGCTAACTAAATCATTCAGTGCGGACCCACTTTATACCTAATTAAAAATAATTTTATAAATCAGTATGTAAACAATATTGTATCTTCAGTGAGATACGTGGTTCAGTGTGGGCCTGCATGAGAAGTGATCCAGCAGCGGACCAGGAAGGGTAGGTTAATTAATGTAAATATTAGAATAGGTATCATGGTCAGAACAAGAAAAAATTTTAAAAGCTACAAATCTCATGTTTTTTTTAGTTTGCAATAAATCCCCACCCTTCATGGAAGAATGACCCGATCCGCCCCTGCGTATATAACCGGCGGTATTGTTGATCGGGATTTTTTGAAAGGGGGGGGGGGGGCTGTTATCCCCGCACAGTACGCTTATGTGTATATAACCACTATTTAAATAGACTACTATTTTATTTATCAAGGTAACATTTTTTATGCATGTTGACGACAGAGACTTTTAGGATATCTGCTTTATTTATTAATGACAAATACATCACTTCATGCATTGAATGCAATTGAAGCTATTATACGTAAATCTCCTGCGCCTTTATTCACCAGTGGTGTTACAGACCATATAACTTGTATGTTGGAACCATCAATATATATTGGATACATACTCACGTGCAGCTTTTGTGTGGGGCGGTAATTCATTGTCCGCAGAGGTGAAAGGTTCAAAGATGATACGTACATAATTATGTATGTTCTATCTCTGCCGACCATCGCCAATAAAGAATCTAGCCATTTTGTGCGTTAAGTTCAAAGTTCATATATTCTTGGCCTAATTCTGCACAAAGAAAAAATAACTGAGGCAAAGAAGTGGTATAGAAAGTGAGAACAACCTGCAAGTTTATTACAAACCAAACTTGCCAATACTGAGCAGATGTGACTTCTTGATGCAAGATGCGGATGTCGTTTTCAGCACATATTTTATGCTCTAGCTCTTGCTACAAATCATAATTCACCAGCTAGCGTTTAGTTTAGCTATTTGCAAGGATTTGGAAAATTAAGTACATATTTTTAGAATTATATGGACATTTAATTTTGAAAAATACTTGAATTTGAAAAAACCTGGACAACATCGGTTAATTCTCACAGAAGAACCACGCACGCAAACTCTCGATTCCCGCCTACATTTTACACCAATTTAAATCAATATAAAAGGCAGTTCGGCCATTAAACCTTGACTGAATGCAAAGAAGAGTTCATTATTAATTGATCAATAATTTTAAAACTACTGTCAAAAACTTAATTGCTCTTATTTACGACTCTTTTCAGAAGGGGGGTTGAAAATTTTATCCATTGAAATCAGGCTTTAAAAATCTCTAGATTCCCCCCCCCCCACAAAAAAAAAACGCATGGAAATGGATAAATGACCCTAAAAACTTTCCGTATGTTAACTTTTGTAAAATTCAACATAAAAATTTGATAAAAGACCTTATTTTATTTCTAATCTCATTTAAAATTGGAAATAAAATGACTATTTTTGCAGTTTTTTGTCTGTAAACATATACCCCCCGGTGAAACAACAAAAGCTTTGATATGAATTTGTGAAATAAGAATTCATAAAACCCATAAAAAAGATTTTTTTTTTGGTTTCACAGAGGGGGGGGGGGGGATGTGTTTTCCCAAATAAGTTATGTTTTATGAAATTTCACATAAATATCTATATGAATATGTTAACTTTTGAAATCTGACTTGGGGGTAGACGGCAGAACAATACTTTCGTTCTCAGTTCTTAAGAATTAGTAATCATTGTCTACGGGTAAAAAAGCATATAGGAAAGAAGAATTAATGACTATGGTAAAACTGAACTTTTTCCTAGGTGTGAGTCTTTCGTGACTGTATTTCAATTTCAACAGAAGAAGAATTACATTTTCTGCTAGATGTTTTGCTGTATAATAATTCTAAAGGAAGGGGGAGGGTAAAT